ATAATCGACAATTTAGCTATTCAGTCGGTGTTTTGTTTAGACTCGGTCTTCACTTAGCCAACTTTACACAGCTGCCTTCCAATACCGCATTGCAGGCCTGTACACGACGCCAAGTATGTTGGACTATATTACAGACGCTCTCTGTATTCTTTTATCAAAAACCGATTAGAAGTGCAATGTGATGCTTAAGCCGTCGTCATTTCGCACTCTTTAGTTAACAGAGCTTGATCGAAGAACTGTTGAATAAAATCGTTCGTATTTTTGTGTCTCGTTTGAGCAGTTAAGGTAAGACTAATTAAATTTCATTCCGTATTTCACGGATTTACACACAATTTGATCACTTGTTTTAACAATTTTGTACTTGTTATGTGATGTCTGTATATACTTTACCCAGAAATATGATATTTTAATTTGATGTATGGAAATATTTAAAAATTAGAAATGCTCTAAGCTTGTTTACCCATCCATCGAATATTGTGCATATACATATGTCATCATTGAATTAATGAATTATTTTTAAATCAAACGTAAAAATTTGCAATAAGAATTGAAATTTTGAAATAGCTTTGTCGAAGTCATATAATGTTAAGGAAGAATCTTTGAGATTTACGGGGTACTTGGTATACTGCTTACTGGGATTATTTTTGCCAAGACAAACTTTCGGCCTTCAGCAGTAAAATTAATATTCGTACAATAATAATTGCCCCCTACACATGTCATTAGACTACACATGTTATCAGACACAAATAATTATATATTATTTTACAATATTACATCCATATATAATGCATAATATCTTATAGCTGAGTTTAAGTTCTTACTAATGAATTTTTAACGGATTACCAATCACGATCAAGTTGATTTTTGAAGTACCGCGTTTTTATTTGGACACCGTAGCGTAGCTAACGACCTGCTGATGACTGTTAAGAATGGAATAAACTGGGTTGGTTAACACAGTATCAGTGCGGCGATATTCAAGTAGTAGAGCAATGCAAAAAATGCTTTGTCGGAAGCATGGTTATATAGCATAACAGAACAGGATAACAGAACAGGAAAAATATCAGTCATATCACACGTTGGCACGCATACTACAAATAAAGGTAAATGTTTCATAATAATTGAAGGAAAACACTAGATTTGTAGAAGTGTCTGAAAAAAATGAGATAAACACGAATTTGATACTACAAATAATATATATTTTCATGATTTCAAATTTCTGTGAACAAATTACGTAAGTATAAAACTGTAATGATATATGGAAATGTCAATTGTAGTTGTATGGTGCTGTTTTCGACCGTGTTTCTTTTTGTTATTTGTGAAGTCACGTGGTTTACTAAGATAAATGAGAATCGCCCGCATTTGCCACTGATTGGCGTGTGTAACCTTGGAATGGCATTTACTATTTGTCTTGTAGTTTTGGTAGTTAACGTGTAAACATCTTGTCTTAATGTGCAGCAGTTCTTTCAATACTCTGAGCATGCCTTCTCAAGTAAGAGTTTCTCCAAAGCGACTGTCGCTGATTCTTCCTGCGTACCGATGTGTATGTAAACGGCTGTTGATAGAAGGGGCTAACGGCTTTGGGATTACTCAGATAGGATAGAAAGGCTGCGTGGTCACGACTTAGTGAGAATAGCATGTTTGAAGGTCCATATTGAAAATCGAACCTCGGTCGTCTGCCTGTAATAAGAGAGATTATTAACTGTGACAATCTCATGTAAGAGAACTAGTAAATTTCAGACGATGGTATATACGTGATGTCAAAGTCAGAGAAACGCCGCAATCTAATAAGGTCATCAACTTGAGTGAACCCACGCGCACGAGTCTGTCATCGAACATTAGAAGCGTTGGTCATTGGAGCGTGATGAAGAAAAATCCCATAATTCTGTTAATGAGAAGATTCCACATCGTTATAACGGGGTTACGTAATTGTACAAACAGGATAACATCACGTGATCGACATCTCTACAGAAAGGAATATTTGTAGGAGTATGGATTCAAAGTTTATTACCCCTACACAAAATCCAATTATACAGGAAAACGTTATAAGTGAATACAAACAACACGATTTGTGCCTTGTCTCGTACTTCAACAAAGTTTATATTGAACTTAACATGTCAGCAGAGCAACGTTTGTCAATGCAAATGCTGATTTTAACTGTATCTTATCACTAAGGGATCTTAATTCTGACAAATTACCCTTATAATAAAATCAAAATATTATGTTACACAAATTCAATAGTATGCATCAAGTCTACAACAATAGTTTAGAAATTGTACATAAATCACAATTATATTTCCACACCTCAATTGGATATTTGACTTACTTTTTTTGGGAAGGGAATTCTGTGAAGTTACGATAGAGATCATTGCAAGTCAAGTAACACAACAGACTTAAAAGGCAACACTGAAGACCTAACAATCTGCAACGCGCAAGCAATCCAACCTTACGATTATCTGGGGTTTTCGTTAACTTTATTACGAATATTACTCTTCATCAGATCAAATCAAATATGTACACCATATGATTAAAATAAAATCTAAGCTCGAATGTAATGTCATAAACTATCTTAATTGCATACGATACCATTAGCTAACTTGATATTATCGGCTTTCTGATAATGAAAACTAGGAAGAAAAGCCGAATATTTACAACTTTACAAATATGCAAGTTTCTATATCTGAAGACATGTATACGACTTCCATAACTTTTAAGTTATCGCTTACTTATACACATACCAGGTATATAGGTAATAAAGTGGAAATAGGACTGACTTTATCATGCATGGAAATGATCATTACGTTACATAGGTTACAGTTCTAAGTAATCAATATAATTACAACATGTTTAACGGAATATACTGTATAAATAGACATTTTCGCGTGTGGAAATGTTCACGTTTTGACTCTTTAAACTATCAAAACAAAGTGGAAATTTCGGCTGAGAAATGGTTCTGAAATGTAAATATTCTTTATATCTATAGTCAAAATAATCTGTTAAAGATAATATTCGCGTGTGGATATTTTTGGGCTAGTTTACACAACGCGAAAAACACGAATGTTTCCACTCCGCGAAATCCCATTTTTAAAGTAATCAATAAATACATGATAACAATAACACAGTGTACATTTGTTTGTGGAGATATTTTCGTTCACAGAGGCCTTTGACTTTGTACGAGATGTCAAAATTACCGCAGCTATTTTGAATTGGAAAGGGATATATATTCTCAACACCACTTTTTGTTTATTGGGACAACCCGGATAGTTATAGTTGGATTTAAAATAATCGGATTATTTTACATTCAACCATAACTATCCGGGTTGTCCAAATAATGAATGGATGGATGATTGAATAAATGAATGAATTAATTAACAAACGAATTTCAAGGAACAGCTTTACACGAAATTTACCTCACATATGCGGTTTTCTGGTGTACCGTACCACCATGCATGAATACTACTTAACAGAGGAAGGATAGTAAAGTTTTATCATAGTAAATATAGATCTCTATTCTCCGTGTGATGTCTTTTATAACAATTGATTCCCGGCCGGTATATAACAGCTCTGTCTGATTCTCCTCATTTAACGACACCGTATCCAGTGATCTCTCCTCACACCGACCGACAATGATCATTATTTTCTATTGAAGTAAGACATCCGCAAGGTTGTTAACTAGCTTGTGATTGGTCAACTGTTGAAGTTGGGTCTAAATCACGGACACGACGGCGTTACAACCCATTCCGGATCAATACCGACTGCGGATAAGTTAGAGAAGCATCAGAGACGGAGACGTGACCAGTCTGTTCGAGAGATCGTATCGGGAGGAAAGGGAATTTACGCTCACGTGCACTGGTCCTGGCTCTCTATCTCATACATAGTAAACAGCTGCACAGATAGGGGGATCGGTAGTTGTGTATTGGGAACTAGTCAGGTACGGTCAATTCTTATGTTCTGTATGAAACTGCATGTTCACTATCTCTTTTTTCTTTGGATTCAGAGTTTTTATCATTCGATGTTATGAAATGTTGGACTTACCAGATTTCTATAGATTCAGTGTTTTTATCGTTAGATGTTATGAAATGTTGAACAAACCAGATTTCAATACTAAATGCTCAGGAAATCATTCTCTATTCAGTTTCAGTGTTCTTACCATTCGATGTTTTGCAGTCTTGGACTAACCCGATCTCAATACTTAATGTTATCAAAGTGTTTTTCCCTTCAGTTTTAGTGGGGGTTTTCCATTGGATATCACACAATGCTGGACAAACAGATTTCGATACTAAATGTTTCAGCGGTTTAACACTACTTGCGGATTTATTTGAACTATTCAATTGTGTTATATTTCATCCTAGATAACTATTATGATAACTGTATATGGAACACGCGACTGGTAATTTTCGATTTTGATCCGTTGTTGATGCAGAGGTATATTGCCAACGAGGCATTTAAAAATAGCTTTTTAAAATGGCTTTAATTGACTTTACGTAAAGATAGCTCCTCGAATTAATGCTGCTTTTAAGATTTATTTTAGCAAGTTATCTCCGTGATCTGTTAAATGATCATACTTTATAATTTGCTTTTGCTTGATTGCCAAACAGATAGCATGTTCCTTGAAAATATGTCTTTGACAGACTTACTGGTGTTAATAATTTGTGATTTCGTTTGCTGACTGTAGATAATCTATTTTGTATTTGTAAAATTTGTATATGACTTTATGGGGCTTCATTCCCTCAGAAAGTACAAAAGTAAATTGTAGTAAGGATATGTGTTTAAGACGGTAGGAAGGTTCTGTTGTGTTAACGAAATCCGAGTTAGAAGATAGTCTGTGATTTTTTGTATGAATATGTTTAAATACATATATTACATATATTTTAAATAAGATTTTTAATTCGGTGATTGACAGCCATTCAACTTATTTATTTATTTACTTTTTCTTATCTATTTACTTATTTATATATTTATTGTTAAAGAACCCATATGAAATATCTTGTTTAATGTTACAGACGCAATAGCACCGGATCATCAACATGGAATCAAATCACCTATGGACGATGTTAGTGAGCGTGGCGCTCTCCTTACTGGTAGTTGGAGCGCAGGAAAATATTATTCCCGTCATTGTAAGTGTTTCCTATTAATTCCATTATTGTTTCAGTATGGTAAATAATGTCTTTCATTTACTACATTATTCGTGTAGTCTATTTCACGAATATTTGAATTCGCGATTGATATAATTAGTTTTCTATGATAGGATTTTTTACGGAAGATAGAAACTCGTGATTTAGGTTCCAAACAAATTAACGAGAAAATAAATCTCTCATGGAAATAAAATTATTTACAGTTACTGACAAATGAATTTCAAAGATTAGAAAACAATCCTACAGCTTATATAAGATCTCCCCCTTAAATTAAGGCATTAACCTCTTTACCACGGGGATCTATTGTTTTGTTCTATTCTTATATCAGCAACCTGTCTTTATAAACCGTTCGTCGTAAGATTTCTTTGCGAAGATTAAATCAAGAAATAAAGATTATTGTTCGACATGCTTTCTGGAGAAACAGTCTTCCCTGTTTATTGCTGTGAATGTATAAAACGCGTAACAAAAGTATTGCAGAGCAGCATTTTTTTGTATAACATTATTTATTTTCCCTTTTTCTGTATTTTTCCCATTCACTCCCCAACCGTTTGAGGTAAAACACCTCCGGAGAGTAAATTAGTCATCTAGTGTAGCTTTGTCGAAGATATTAACAACATGCAGCCGTACATATGAGTCTTACATATGTACAACTTGGTCACTATGGTAGCAATATCACACAATGTAACAGAAAGCCACAGTGTAAATGTATCTATATTAGGAATAAATGTGAAAACAAAGAGAAAGAAAATTCCGTATACTGGAAACAGAAAAATCTCTACATCTAAAAAAAAACAACAATATTACCTCTGAGAGTGTTTCTATATATTTACTTTAAGACTCAAGAAAGCGCAATTGTGTTAATGTTCAATGTTTCTTATTCCGTAGGCCTTATGGCCCAGAAAGAGCATTTGTGTTAATTTACAATGTTCCTTATTCCGTAGGCCTTATGGCCCAGAAAGAGCACTTGTGTTAATTTACAATGTTCCTTATTCCGTAGGCCTTATGGCCTATAAGTTGAAAATACAACAACAAACATATGTTGATTATATACAAACAAACGGAGAGTGATTTACAACGGCGCGTTAACATGCACATGCTTAAATGAAACAGTATTATAATTATCCCTTCAATTAGGGGGGTGGGGGGTCCTGAATGCCAAATGCACAAATTTCCCCGTAAAGCTGACAGATCTCTGGTTAATAGACATTGATTTGGGCAGGGTTGCTTTACTCTAATGATGCATCCTCTGTTTCCGAGTTGTCCATCACTGTCTGGACATTGTCCACCCCCTCCGGCCACTCAGAAAAGGTCACGTATACGGTTAGGCCGCGAATAATCACTGACCAGATGTTGATTTCATTATCACCTTGTGCTATTGTTACACAGTAAATGGTCAGCCTAGCACGTGCCCTTTGTAATTTGAAATATGTATCTCTTAAATGTTACTTCATGACAGCCATTGAAAAGACTTAAACAATAAAACTGCCGTTGCAGTAGAGTCGTCGGTTTCAAAGTTTCATACATACAATTCATGTCAGATGAATATTCAAGTGACTAAAGTTGAACAGGACAACCTGGACGTTAATGCGGCTATAACAATAAACTGACGTTAGAATAAAGGCCTCAGTTTCATGGATATAACTTAAATTTTGAGGCAATCTTCTACATTTATGTAATCACTTTTCACAGTGGAAAGGACATGGGGCGTTATGAGTCATTTCCGGCCTCATGGGGGATTAAGAATTAGTTGTTATATTCGTAATCTGGAATAATTGAAGTACATAAATATGAAAGTTAATTCGACAACTGGTTTAGGAGATATGGCAGTACAAAGGGAGACATAAACTCCCATTTTCGCAATAAAATGCGTGAATATCGTCTGTTGTGCGCTAACTGGTTGAAAATTGGCCATTCTGACTCAATTAACTTAACAATCTTCAATATTTGAAAACCTCCGTAAGTAACAAACAAATAAATAGTTGACATCCTGAAGCATTGCCATGCTAGTGTTCATTCGTAGAAAGGATTTTTCGTTTGTCACATGACAAGCTTACAGTTCAACATGATGTAAAAAATACTTTGTAAAATCGTACAAATTTAGATTGACAAACCTCAAACGGTTTGCGTCATTCTGGAGATGACTTTTGATAACGATGAATCTATACGTAAATCGTTAAAGTCTGAAACAGGAAAATCGTTTTAAACCACATGTTGAATTACGTAATTGTATATAATTTGAATGTAGGACATGCACTCGCTGTGTACGTACTTACGGAACATGATAAATTGTTAACTCTCTGCGGGTTAATTACCAAAGCCACCATCCCCATCTCTTTCTGACAGGTTCTGATAGCATGGCGATAAGTATAACGTGTATATCTTCAAAGGATATAGGTCGACAAGAATCACTTAACAAGACGTATGCCAAAAGTGCAGCAGAAAATTGTTTTCATGTTTCAGATAGTGTTTATTTCCTCAGCATCAGTTGGTTCACTAGAAAAATAAACACAAGTAAATATATATTAAATGCTATGGATTGCCAGGCGGCTTGAGTGTCCTCCCCCTCTACCCCTCCTTCCAAATCACCCTTTCCAACTCCACAACTATAGCCACCCACAATATGATATCCTAAACGTAGAGGGGCTTTAATTCACAATACAACTTTCACTGAAACAGATGTTTAGTTTGTGAAACTTAATATAATTTTAACAAATATTAAATTATTTTATTCTTATCTGAACATCTTCCCGTGTGATATTCTAATACTAATTTCACAATATAAGTGACTGTTAAAGCTTGCTTCACGCCCTATTTAATTTGTAAAATTACTCTAAAGCGCTTTACAACATATAGATAATAGTAATATTTGTAATTGTGAAACAAAAAAACAAACGCTTACAATCACTTTTATACATTTAAGCAAGCAATGTGCACATAATTCAACAAATAAAGGGTGGTATTTACATGACGTCTGTGCAAGGATTCTAAAATGCAGACGTGAAGAGGTGAGTTTTGACTTAGTCTCACGTACAATTTTGGTTTATTATAAGAAAATTGGTTTGGATTGGTTCATTGTTTAACATCCTATTAACAGCTAAGGTCATGTAAGGACGTGCCTCCATGTGTTGTGTAAGCATGCATGTACGTCTACCATAAGAAGTACCTAAACAGTTAACCAATATACCTACATGTATATCAGGTTATTTACACGTAAGGCAAACTTCGCGAATATGTTAAAAATCAAAATTCTGCATTTCAATATTCGCGTTTTTATTTCCAGATTATTATTAAGGGCGTGGTACTTTATGTGATCTACAGTTTGCAATTTAATCATGTACTTTCATCATACCGCAGATAAATTGAAAATGAGATACTCGCGAAAATTACCTGATGTACAGTTTATTGTATAGTGTAAGTATGATTGTGTAAACGCTTACCTTGCTGCGCCTGGTTTCACTTTGTTGATGTTACGGCTGCTTTACCTTTTGCTTTGGTTCTGGTTAATATGTTTTCCTGCCCACTTAAGTCCCGGAAGCTTGACACTGACTTGATAAACAAACACGTTCTGTATCAATAATTAGCACATGGAGTCATCGATCTATAACATTTTACAAATGAACATCACTAATGATAGTGTGTGAGGTATATTGACGTATTTATTCGTTTCTTTAAACTGTGTATAAGAACACCAAATGTATTGAATTTATCAACAACCGTAATTATCTTATGTACGGTATCGGAAAGAAAATAACATTTTCACTGTGTTTATGTAGATCCTCGGTAGATTATCGGTTTTTTCATCTGTTGGAATAGAAAAATGAAATCAATTAGCACTGAGCAGAAAAAAAATGTACTCTTAAACACGTAGCAAGCATCGCATAAATATTAAAATCAATATTCTTTTTCGACAAGAACATGAAAAGACGGTATCGATGCATCTCCAAAGCGAATATTGATACACGCCCGCTAAATAACTCATTAAGAAAGCGAAATCGATAAGAACCATTCATGTCCTACATTCCGTTGCTAAAAAGAAAGTAGGTGGACATGGTAAGTGTGAATAAAAATGACTGTTCCGCCCTACCTTCCTATGCTAAAGTGAAAGTAGATTTCTGTCTTTTAAAGTGTGTGAATGATACGAGGCACACAGAGATATCACTGCAGACGCATACAATTACTTCATAAATGTCAAACGCGTTACACATATATCAAGAATTTGTCAGATGATAGATAGGATAATAGAGACGCTAATGAAAGCTAGACTACGTCATGTTATTGCTGCCATATACGCGTCCTTTACTCGCTATTAAAGGTCATGGTTGTAGTGCGTAGATACTTTAAGGATACCTGTACCACTGCCGAAAACTGTAACTAAGTACTGGAAACTTTTTTTCTGACATTACTAGAGCTTTGGTAAATGATTTCTGAAAAGAAAACCATACCTTACGAGACTTTTATGTAAAATGATAAAAGTGAAATAAACAAAGAATATACCTAACAACAGTGGTCTGAATAGGGAATAGAACCATGGGCTTCAGATTGATATTGTAATATCCATTACTCTGTCCGTTCCGTAATTTGTAACAACCACATTCTGTAACATATGTTAACTGGAATCGGAAGTAGTATTATTAATAAAAAAATCAGTCAGCGCAGCAAGCCAGAGTTGGTGTCATCCTGCAGATGAATAATGCATCGTGGTTCCCCTCTGAACACATAATCTTACTTTTCTTGTTCGTTTTCAGTGGTCTCTATTTTGATTTTTTCTTTTGTATTTTTTTTGCCCTTTTTTATTGATATTGAGTTCAAATTACCCTTTTCCCCCACATTATTTATCCATCTAAGCCTTCATATTTGTTTTTATAAGGGTTCTTTATGGTATGGTTTCTATTCAGAAATGATTCATCAAAGCTATAGTCATGCCCGAAAAATCAGTTTTCAATACATAGCTACTGTTTTTGGCAATGGTACAAGGACCTTCA